TTGTTAACTTACATTTCTCTAGTTCCACAAATCAAAAAACTCTCTCCTGCTTCTTTACAGAACTCCAATCAGAAGCTTTTGCCTGTTTTAGCGTAGATAAGTTTTTTAATTCGGACTAGTTTCGTAGCCCAATATTAATTTATTTTAGCGTCTTTTTTTTCGCGCTCCAAGCACCCGCACGCGCGCACATACAGACTAGAAAACACGCAATCAGAATTTATTAAGGCAGAATAATCAGAGTTAAACCGCACAGCACAGTTGATGCGCTGCTATGTGAAAGGGACAGGAAAGAGCAGGCAGCTGCAGCTACCAGGCAGAGAAGCTGCGACAGGAAAAGAAGCGGCTGCTGTATAAAAAATCATAAACATGTTGTTCACATCCAATTATTGGTAGGGACAAATAGGTCCGTCCAAAATTTTGGTAGGGACATGTCCCTATGGTCCCTATGCAAACCTACGCACATGCAATTGGCCAGGTTAAACTACACTAGAGAACTAGCCTGTCTTAATCAACGGACCGTCAGGTTGAGGAATAAAGAATTTTTACTTCTGCTAAGATGGAAATGTTAAGTATTTTAATCCTACCCAGAGCAAGATCCTCTATTTAAAACCTCTTGCTTCTCTTTTATTGAAGACTAACAATTAAAAACAATTGTTTTTTACTTACATCCCTCACTTCCCAAGAAACAAATCTCTTCAGCCCCTAGATGGCTTCTTGGAATCTTCTTTTCTATCCGTCTCAGGTCGTCCTCTTCAGTCTTCACAACCATTGCCCAAGTTTAACACGGATTAAATGGTTTAAAGAAAAATGCTGTCTTGATGCATCAGACGTTGGCTTTTAGACTAAATTGTAACAAGAACTGGAATTTGGCTTCAGTTCTCCATCATCTCAGAGGATGTCTTATTTCTTGCTGCAGGCTGCAGAAAACAAGTTATTATGATGCAGGATTGATCTCACTTTATCTGTAATAAGTTTGATGCTATAATAACTATTATTATACATCCGAAAGCATAAATTCCAGCTTCAGTATATAATGTTACTGTACTTTTATTTCCCTACAAACCAATTTATTCAGCCCCAGAGTGACTGCTCTGCAGGCTTCATATTCAGTCTTCGGATCAATTGGCCAGGTTAAACTATACTAGAGTACTAGCCTGTCTTAATCCACGGACCGTCAGATTGAGGAATAAAGAATTTTTACTTCTGCTAAGATGAAAATGTTAAAAGCATTTTAATGCTACCGAGAGTATCTATTTAAGACCTGTTGCTTCTCTCATTATTGAAGACTAGCAATTAAAAACAATTGTTTTTTACTCACATCCCTCACTTCCCAAGAAACAAATTTCTTCAGCCGCTGGAGGGCTTCTTGGAATCTTCTTTTCTATCCGTCTCAGGTCGTCCTCTTCAGTCTTCACAACCATTGCCCAAGTTTAACACGGATTAAACCCAGTTTAAAGAAAAATGCTGTCTTGATTCATCAGACATTGGGTTTTAGACTAAATTGCAACAAGAAGTGGAACTTTGGCTTCAGTTCTCTCTCATCTCAGAGGATGTCTTATTTCTTGCTGCAGGTTGCTGCTCTGTTTCTTCTTCCGAGGAGGGAGAATTCTTGATGGAGAACTCTTGAAGAAGCGCTCTGTGATAATTATCCTACTCCTCAACCAGCTGCTTCTCTCTCTTTCTTCTTTAACCAGTCCAGCACTGGGAAGCTTCATCAGGACGCAACAACTTTATTTCAGTCAAAAAGAACTGCTAGCTTTCTGTCATGCTTTAACATACTTGCGTGTACTGCTTCAGAATCCGTGTGATCGCTACATGACATTATGCAATGCTACAATGGAGGCAACCCCCTCTTCAGATTGTGATTTATTGCTTTCTCCTATTGTCTTAAACTCTACCTTTGTTAGTATCACATACACCCCAGCGCCGCAGAGTTTCCATAGTAACTGAACTACCTCTTTGTCTTTTATCAGGAAACACCTTTTCCAACTCAACAATCAAACTAAGTCACCCCCTCTTTCTCTGAGCAGAGCACCTCTCAGTTCCTCACTTTACTTAACTGGAAAAAAACGGCTTTATTTTACATCATAACAGCTAATTATAAAAAATACTTTTTACATTTTATTTCAAATACACTTTGATATCCTTATAAAATGTGAACACCGGCCATTTTAATTCCAGGCTTCCTAAAACAGAAAGCAAGTTATTATGATACAGGATTGATCTAATTTTATCTGTAATTAGTTTAACGCTATAATAACAGTTACTGTACATCCGGAAAGCATACATTCCAGCTTCAGTATATAATGTTATTGTATTTTTATCTGATCTCACAAAAGCTGAAATTCATCTTTAGGTAGAATAAGCAGAAAGTTGACTCAAGTAAGACTAGCAATATTCTTAGGAATATTATTTAAGTCAACATAAAAAGTTCAGTAATGTACATCTACTCCTTAAGGTACATTTATCCCTAAAAGTGTCTATATGTCTTTTTGAGTAACTGTAACTAGTTACCTCCACCTTGTGATGGTATGTAATGTGTACAACTGTACCAACAAAAATACCAACAAAACTTGTAAAAATATCTATTCTACCTTTGCATCAACCAAGCAGAATATTTATTAAGCATCAGATGAAAAGTTAGGAAAATAGGTTTACTTGTTGGCTCAGTGTAATGGAGGGGACGGGTTTAGTTCAGTGCGGGAGTTTGACTCTGTTTGGTTAGAAAACACTATTCTCTCATCCAACATGCAACTCTCGGAGAGATTGGAGTTATTCTGCTAACAACAGAGGCAGATGCTGGGGAAGATTCTCAGTTATCCAGGTCATAGTCATTCCAAAAAGGTTTAAACAATTTACTGGACTTTGTTTCCAAGTTGAAGACGTTTCGCTTCCTAGGAAGCATTTTCAATTCAAAATGGCAGAAATGGCATTGAGTTCGAGGCTCTGTAGAGTTGACCAAAAACTTTTCCTTTCTCCCTGAAACTTTGTTTCGAGAAGTTTTCAGGTTTGTTTATAAGGTCCAGCTTTTACAGCACCAGAAAACGAATGAAAGACAAAAAGTTAAATTCAATAAATTACAACAGAAAGCAGCATTTGAACAAGATACCAACATACCACATACGAAAGCCACAAACATCGATGTCCAGGACAAGTGGGTTAAAAACCTGTCTAGCAGGCCTCTGACGAAACCAGAGACGGATGTTCTGTCTAAAGGCCTGAATTTTGCCATTTCTCCACAACAAATACCCATTGTGGAGCAGATCACTGCCACTGAATCTGCCATCAGGAATAACAACCTGGCTAAAACAGAGGCAGAGCAACTCAGAATGAGGGTAACAGCTACCCTGGCCAGCGCCCACCATCTCCAACCAATCTCACACCACAGGATAGGAAAACCATGAAGTCCCTTAACCAGGACCAAAGCATCACCATATTACCACCAGTCAAAGGAAAAAGCTCTGTGGTCCCCCCACACTTCGGACTACCAGAACAAAATTCTCACTCTATTGAGTGACTCCAACACGACCTTAGCAACAGGACTAATTTCACTCCAGATCAGATCTGCACCCACCACTGAACTTTGTCTTTCAAAACCCTATTTTTACAAACAGAAGCATGGTTTTGCCATGGGATCTCTCTTGTCACCAATTGTAGTCAATCTTTACATGGAAGAAATTGAAAAGAGAGCTTTGGACACCTTCAGAGGAACACCACCAAGCCACTGGTTTAGATATGTGGATGACACATTCGTCAAAATCCAGCTAAAAGAAGTGGAACCTTTCACAAGACACATCAACTCAGTGGACAACAACATCAAGTTCATCAGAGAGGATGCCAATGACAACAAGCTACCTTTTCTGGACTGCTTGGTGAGCATGGAAGTAGATGTAAATATCAACATTGAAGTGTATCCAAAAGACACACAGCAGAGCATAACGGTGATAATATTAAACGCAAAAACATTGCCACACAACTGGAGTCTCTGAAAAACTCAAGAGGATTTTCTTCAAACACATTAAGCAGATACCTCAACAGCTTCATGAAGATAAAGACCTGCTCCCCTATTCCACCAGAACAAACACCACTACGTGGGACTCCTCTTAAAATAATTTGTAAGATTTCCTAAATTTTGAAAAAGAATAGAGCAAATATTATGCATATGTTAAAGTTTCAAACCACTTTCTAAATAAAAGCATTTTTCACTGCCAGTTTGAATGTAGGTTCCAGGACTTGTTGGGGCAAACATATCATGATGAGGAGATCCAAAGATAAGATGTCAAGCAGTCTGTCTCCATGGTTATCACCGGAAGAGAACAATTTCACCTGCATGATACAGAAGGTGTTTTGGTCTTGCCCCCAGGAATTTGCGTCTGGGGAGCCGCAATTGAGTTTGTTCTGACTTACAACTAAAAATGAAGAAGCAAGATGGTCAGTTTCATTTGGTTGAACTTTAGTGAAGAACGGTGAAGGAAAAAAGTAACATACAATGTGCGCCCGTCGGCTCGGCTCAACAATACAAACTTTTTTCTCTCTTCCTGCTTCTAGAGCATCTTGGGTAATAGAGTCCACCTCAATGCAACTACAAACAAATGCAGTCCCAAATTTAACGACAGTTAACACACGAACTGTGTTATCAACATTAATGTTAACTTATATTTTTAACTCAGTAACTTATCATTCAATAGTTATGAAATAATAAGTCCTCAACAAATAAATTCATAACAGAGTTAAAGCTTGGCTAGGGTTTTTCTTGTCTTGATTCTACTCCTCTCTGGGTTTAATAATAAAGTTTTTGATGGAAATTATGCCAGTTCTACTCAGCTCACATAGAGGTCTATGTTCCGTAGTTCTGATGACTTTTTGTAGTTTTGTTATAGCTGTAAATAAACAAATATAAAATCCCGGACTTCTAAAAGTTCTATTTCAACTGTATAACTGCTTCTGTCTGTTCCAAACATAAACTTAGGTGTCTATTTTTTTGTTTCTCTCCAGGCCTGTCACTGCACCGGGAAGTCTCTCTGCCACTGTGATGGGATCAAGGGTCAGAAGGTGAGTATGCTAATCATGAACCTTCTGATTAACATTTTTCTATCACAGAAAACCCTTGTTATGCCCTGAGGTGCCGGTATTTCTACCACCAACATGACCATATCAGCTTCAAAGCATATTCTTTTTCCTCAAATGAAAAGTGGTAGCTATGTCTTCCAGCAGGCTAAGCCCACAGTAACATAACTCAGGAGATAGTTCAGGATAACCTGAGCCACTCTAACTATAAGGCTTATCAGAACAATACAATTTTGAGCTTAGCCTTAAAAGTATACCATGGGATTGCATCATGCAAAAACTGGAAGTTGGTTCCCAAGGAGAGCAGCCTGAGAACTAAAAGATCTGCCTCCCATCCATTCTACTCTTAGAAATTCTAGGAACTACTATTAAACCTGCAGATTGAGAGTGAAGTGCTCTGTTAGGAACATAAGGAACCTTCAGATCTCTGATCTGAAGTACTTCCTTGCAGTACTTTGTCAATTATTCGTTAGAAGGTGGCTGGAGCACCGTACAGGCTGAACGGCATAATAGTAAACTGGAAAAGACCAGAAGGAGTACGAAATGCTGTGTACCATCTGCTTGAAGGCTCCAATGGAACCTGCCAGTACCCTTTACACAGGTCAAGTGTGGTAATGAACTTTGCTTTTCCATCCTTTCCAGCAGCTCATCCACCCTGGGCATGGGATGGGCATCAAACTCTGAAACTGCATTAAGCTTTCTGAAATCAGTACAAATCTGTAGTGAGCCATCTTTCTTGCACACAATGACCATTGGGCTGCACCACTCATGTTAGCATGGTCTTGACTTCATCTTGCAGCTGCCCCACCAACTGCTGTGGAACTCTATATGGAAGTGAATTAACTGGCTGCTTATCTTTCAGTCTAATTGCATGCTCAATCAAACTGATCTGGCCTGGATTAGGAGAAAAAAGAGGAGACTGTTACTCGAAGATCTGCTGAAGTTGTGAGGCTATATGTGAGGTACAGTTCCCAAGATCGGGGGTTGATTGTTCAGTCATGACTTCAATGACAGGAACCTCTTCTTCCTCCTCCATTGGCCTCAACAGGCATGATGTTTCTGGAGCTGGATGTGATGGTTCTTTCCACTCCTTTAGCAAGTTCACATTGTAAGCCTGTGTAGCTTTCTTTTTCTCAGGGTGGTAGACTTCATAGTTGTTAGGTCCCATCTGTTGGCTGATGGTATAGGGCCCTTGCCACTTTGTCAAAAGCTTGCTGGATGAAGGAGAAGCAACACCTTCTGTCCAGGACTTAAAGACCCTCTGTCGTGCCTGCTGGTCATACCACCTATTTTGCTTCTGCTGAGCCCGAAGCAGGCTCTTTTCAGTCTCTTCCTGGTACTCAGCAAGCCAACTTCTCATCTGCAGCACATACTGGACCACACCTTGCTTTCCAACTTTTCTTCAGCAGGTCTAATGTTCCTTGAATATCCCACCCATACAGGAGTTCAAATGGAGAGAATCCAGTTGATGCTTGTGGCACCTCACGTTAGGTTAAGAGAAGGAATGGTAACCAGTGGTCTCAATCTCTGCCAGCGTCAATCACAAACTTCTGCAGCATCCTCTGTAGCGTCTGGTTGAACCTTTCGACCAGTCCATCAGTTTGCGGATGGTAGGGCGTCGTCCTGATGGCAGAGATACCAAACTGTTTATGAAAGAGGTCTTTCAAATCTGATCTGGGATTCCAACTCCTGAAAACAGCTGGACCTCTCCACTTAGGATCAGTTTTTTCCTCCACTAGGTCAAACAAAGGTTGTAAAGACACATCCTGTTTCTGTATAGTAGCAATATTTTCAGGTATTTTCCACATGTCTTCTACTGCTAAATCTGTTGACACATTTCCACTCAGCATGAACTGCTTTCTGGATTTTCTAGTCTTCTTTGAAAACCTCAAACAAACTCTCATCAAAATCAGGTAAGGATTCAACTTGTTCTTTGACTTGAAAATAGGTAATCACAGGATAGAAAACATTGCTAACCCCCCATCCCCCCCCCCTACCTCCAGTTTGTATCTCTTCCAAAAGATGAAACATCAAAGGTAAATCAGTACCCAAAATGATATCAAAAGGTAGGTTTTCCACTACACCAACAGTTAGCAAATAAGGTAGATTATCAATAATGACAGGCACTTCTGCTTTTGGATAAACATGACAATTCCCATGCCCACACAAAATAAAATTTTTGTTTTCATAGTTCAAACATCCAACAGGTACAAGACTCCCTTTAACAAGTGATGTGGGCCTACCACTGTCTATTAGGCCCCGTCCACACGAAGTCAAAACGAACACGAAACGCTAATATTTTCCAAAACGTTTGCCGTAAAGACGGAGACGTAAAATAAATGTGATCGTCCACACGAATGCATGAAAACGCTGCAAAATGTATGCCAGGCCTGTAAGTGGCGCTGTGGTGCCAAAGCAAAAATAAGCGACGAAATGTTGGGCATGCGCACTAATATTTATACACGGTTGCCCTGCGGGTTCATTTTCGTGGTTAAGTCAAATTCAGGTGCTGAACTATTTTGTCGATATTGCTCTGTTCTTCCTGGAGATATTCCAGAAGAAGAAGATTCTGTTGTAAGCCCGACAGCAGGGTGAGTAGCATTAGCAGCAACGGCGCCATTGTTGTTGTGATATTGGTCGCGCATGCGTGTTTAGAGGCGACGCTATGACGCATGCGTGTAAAAAAAAATATGCGGTTAGAGCGTAAAGATGGAAACGCGAAAACGGCGTTTCGAAATCTTCCCACTCTGAAGGCTGAATAAAAAAAAGATCGTTTACAGACCCCCGAAACGCCGGCTTCGTGTGGATGAGAGGCTGGTTTGGTGAAAAATGTGTGCGTTTAGGCCAGGGTTCGTCTTCGTGTGGACGGGGCCTAAGGCCATTTACCTTCACAGTTTTATGAGTTCTAGTTTCAAAGTTTTGGACTACAGCCTAATTTTTCACTCTGGGAGCATAACAGGAGCCAGTAATCTTAGACTTCTTTATCGGGCACACCCAAGCCTTGTGGCCCAGCTGTTGACAGTAATAGAAAATCAATGTCTTGCCATGAGATGGTGGATTCAGAGAACTTGGGGTACGTCTTACTTCCTGGCCTGGGTCTCTAGCATACCGTTGATGTCCGTGCATTCATGTACTGTGGAGCCAACTTTACAGTAGTAAGACCATCTGTAGGTTCATGTTCTTTCGACCAGGTCCTTACATCAGAGGGCAGAACACTTAGCAGTTGTTCCTGGATGATGAACTTCCCGACGTCCTCCTTGGAATGCTGGTCCAGACGGATTCACAGTCAGTAGAGCCCTCTAAGGCATTGATAGGTTTCAGTAGGAGTTTCACCAGCAGGTAAAGTTGTTGCTCTGAACTTCTGTCTGTACGTCTCAGATGAGATGTCAAACTTTGCTAACAAAGCAGCCTTTAAAGTCCCTGTAGCAGCGACTACGTTCCTCATCCATAACACGTTCCTCCACCGTCACACACACTCCTTTATGAAGTTGTTGACTGGATAGCCGTCCAGTCCCCTGTGGTCCTCATGATTGTGTATGAAGTAACATATATCTCTGATTTAATCCCCGTTTTTATCTCTTTGTCTAATAAAAAAACAGTTTTTGGTCTTTATTTGGTGCTTAGCTTTAATATTGACATCACATTTGAAATATGTTTCTCTGTGTTTGATAAATGTAAATAAATGTAAACTTTTCTTGGTTTGATTAGTGAAATAATTATTGATTTTAGGGTGGAATCATGTAAGCCAGGATAAGATAGCCAACAACATCACTTTCCAAGCAGCCATTTGTGGTTTGAATGTTGGACATGTTGCTGTGATGATGTCTCTGCGATATGCCGCACAGACAGATGCACAGATTGCAGGAGCGCAGAAGAATTTTTTCAAATATGTTTGGAGACAGAGGATGCAACCTGCTTGATATAACTCCAGCCAAATGTGAAGCGAGACAGAGAATCTTTATATAAAGATGTTAGATTGCTTTCCTACAAAGATAAGAGATCTCCTTACATAACTGTTAAGGTTTATTCCACGCTGATTTCACGTTCTAATCTGTCTGGATGAGTTCAGCCCAGATTTAAAAAGCACAGTTCAAAGTGATTTTAATCTTATATTGTTGTGTCTCTGTGAGCGTGTCTCCACTCTGTCTTCTTCACTGGATTCTCACATCATGCCTCCTGCATCCTGCCCCCACAGATAAAAAAAAACAAAAAAACCCTCCAATCCACTAAGGTGGAACAAGTTATCGTTTCAGGCTTAGAAAATATGATTGACTGTTTTTGTTTTTCAGTCAATTCAGGTTTTAATGGATTTATGAATTCCAACTGGCTTCTATCCGTCTATTTAGGTAAAGCACATTCATCAGCTGTCTGATTTTTGTACCCTTAAAGCATCATGTTATCATATTCCATCTCTTTTTTAGAGTCTTTTGTGAAATTTCTAAATAATAAGTGAGTTCATTTGCAAGGAAGTGTGCAGTCGTTTGTTGATGCTGCGGTCTGATTGGTGTAAGGTTGGGCACCTGGGACCACCCAGGGGTAAACTCAACCCAATTTCAATGGAAAGACAGAAAAATGAGCCCCTCTTGGCTGAACATGAAACGTCCATTTGTAATATCAGAAGCAGAACGCACCAGCAGTAAAGCTATGAGAAATTTCTCACTTTAACTTGGGAGAGAAATATCACCTGAACTGAGCTCTGCTACCCTTCAGTGGAAACAGCTGAAGTTTACATCTTTTTTTTTTATGTTCATTTTTTGTTGTATGTTGTCATGCTTAGGGAGAACCTGGATACATTGGAGACCCTGGACTTCCAGGGGTAACCGGATTTCCTGGAAACGAAGGCAGTCAGGGCTCGCCTGGAGAAAAGGTTACATTTTATAATTATTATTATTATGCTTGTATTTGACAACACATCTAATTTCAAGTGGAAACTGTGGATGTTTTCTAGTTCCTAGAGCCTCCACACCATGAGGAAAAGTAGTTTGATAGTTATCAGCTCATAATTGTTCTTTACACCCTGCATGAATTTAAATTTTTTTTTTGTTTTTTTGGATGTAGACTAATATATGACCTACATACCTGTATTACAGCTAAAGTACTACTTTTAATAAATTGAATTTTAGATTTTGAGCCTTTAGCTTTAGTCATGTCTTTGGGTTATGGTCTGTCTGTCTGTCTGTCTGTCTGTCTGTCTGTCTGTCTGTCTGGATGGATGGATGGATGGATGGATGGATGGATGGATGGATGGATGGATGGATGGATGGATGGATGGATGGATGGATGGATGGATGGATGGGTGGATGGATGGATGGATTTATTTTACCATCAGAAAGTTCTAATCTACTTTCTCTACCTTAGGGTAATCGAGGAAGAGCAGGGAATCCAGGAATAAAAGGCTCTCTGGTAAGACTGATGATGATGAGGCTGATGATCTGGATCAATGGGCTTTAAACCATCTTCTATTAAAGAATTAAAGTCCAATTATACATTTTTTTTTATTTTCTCTAAATGTTAACTTTGGGTCCTCAAGACCAACACCCTCCATGCTTTAGGTGTTTCTCTGCCTCCACACCTTAATTTAATGTACAGATGAGTAAGAGGACTTTTGAGCTGTTTCTAGCTGCTGGGATTGTGTCATTATATGATTCAGATGTTTTGGAGCAGAGACACATCTCAAACATGCAGGACAGTTAGTCCTGAAGAGATTTGAACTAAATGAAAGGCGGGTTACAGCAATGATGATTCTGATGACCATGATCGTGATGGTGAGTGCAGGTATGATAAGCATGGTCATGGTTATGCTGAACAAGATGGTGATGATGAAGAAGCTGTGTTGCATCTGCATGGAGCATTAGTCAAATTTAATTTATTCCCAACCGTCTTGAGGGATGTCATCTCAGCTTAACTCTGAAACTCTGGTTCTTAACACAGACAGAAGTTTTTATGTTTCTAAATCTTTGTTTCCAGGGTATTAGAGGAAGACCAGGTTTACCAGGCATTCCAGGACTTCCAGTAAGTGCTAAAAAATTTCCTTTGAACACAAAGGCAGAAATCATAGCATTAAAAGGGTAAATAGTAATAAAAAATTATCTGTCTCAAATATTTCAGGTTAGAAAATTGTCCAGCAGAAAACTAGAATTCATAAAATAGGCAGCATGTTTGATAACTGCCTGCTATAGTTGATATGAGCTCCCGCTGATTATGATAAGGTAATTTTTGAGTTTTGTTTTTTAAGGGTCTCCCTGGGCATGATGGACAAACCGGCCGACCTGGAAACCCAGGATGCAATGGGACAAAAGTAAGGACAATTCTTTGCAGGGATTAAAGTATTCCAGCCCCAGGCAGGATTTCCGGCTTATACGGATTGCCTGTGGGTAAAAAAAATCACTCAAAAATAAATTGAAGGTAAATAAATAAATAAAAGACAATCAAAATCCCTCCTGCATGTGTCAGCCAATGGTTGCAAAGGAGCGCTCTGAACATTTTTCAACTGTACATTCCAGTTAAATAAACTGAGATCGATGGATTTTACTCAGTCGGCACTTTATTTACTTTGCAAAGTAAAGGAGAAGAAGACATTCAAATTCACAGCATGATGGTCTGCCCTGTTTTGACTTAGACAAAGTTGTTCCCTTGCCTTAAAGGCAGAGTCAAAACAATTACAGAAACTATAACATGTTTTGAATACCATGAGAAAGTATCTGGTTTTGTCATGGGAAAAAGTATGTCTTGTCTATAACCACCCCTCACAGACATTTTGTGGCCTTGCAGGTGAAACAAACCGAGTAAAAAAATGTTTATATAGTAAATAGGATACATCAATTTATAAAAGAAGAAATTAATAGAAGTCAGTTTCGCCCTTTCGATTATAAAAGGGTATTATCCTTGTGTAATCGATAATTCAGAAAGGAAAATTTTGTGAATATATGTAGAGAAAACAAAAAACAAAAGCTGTGAATATATGTAATAAAATCTAAAAACTAAAGTTGTCACTGGTATTGAAGCCAGAGCACAGTGTTAATAAATGATTATGAAACAACAATGATTATAAACAGAACGTTTGTACTTGGAATGTGGAGGTATACACAACCCTATCAAACGGAGAAAGATTCTGAGCTTTCTTAAGAAGGAAAAGGTGCATGTGGCTTTGTTGCAGGAGACCCACCTGACTTCTCACGAGCACCTTAAGTTAAAACGGGATTGGGTTGGTCAGGTGTTTAGTTCTTCTTTTACGAGTAAGAGTCGGGGGGTGGCTATTCTAATACATAAGCACCTGCCACTGATTCAATTCAATTCAGTTTATTTATATAGCGCCAAATTCACAACACATGTCATCTCAAGGCACTTTACAGTTCAACCAGATCATACAGTCAAATTGATACAAAGTTTTCTATCTAAGGAAAACCAGTTGATTGCATTGACTCATTGACTCAAATACAATCCCCCACACTAAGCATGCTTGTAGCGACAGTGGAGAGGAAAAACTCCCTTTTAACAGGAAGAAACCTCCAGCAGAACCAGGCTCAGTGTGAGCGGCCATCTGCCGAGGCCGACTGGGGTTCAAGGAGACAGAAGCAGAGATACAAAAAGCAGCTGTAAAAGGCGGCCCCGTCCAGGAAACACACAGCCAGGCAGACGAGCTCCAAGGCAGCTCCCATGCCAGAGGACGAAGAGAGCACATCCACTCAGTCACGGTCAGAGAAACAGGACCACACCGGAAAACAGGCCGATCTCCAACATCTATTAACAAGGGTGTTGATAGAAGCAGCACAGCTGATGTTTTTTTCCAGGATGACGTCACAGCCAAACAGGAACAGACGAGGCAAAGCTACTCTGAGGAAAAGCAGAGAGAGCAGAAGGTTAGAGATTGAACTAACAGATTCTAACAGATTCTGCAGAATAGGAGAACTGATTTTACTGTATATAAACAGGTGCGTGGTCTGATATAAGAATATCTCACTGATGAATGCTCAAACAATTAGTGATAAGTCTGGTAGATACATATCTTTAAAGGGCACCTTACATGGCCAGTCAGTGTCATTTCTGAATATTTACTTTCCACCAGTACAGTCTAATGACTTCATTACTCAGGCTTTTTCCTCCTTTTCGGATTGGGTTTGTGACAACTCAGTGATAGCGGGAGATTTTAACTGTTATCTCTCCTCAATTATGGACAAATCTCCATCTAGACAGTCTCAAATTCCTAAAAGGGCCAAAGCACTTTTGGACACCTGTAACGAACTTGATCTTGTTGACACCTGGCGGGTACTTCACCCTAATGATAAAGAGTTTACATTCTTCTCAGGGGTTCATAAAACAAGTAGCAGAATTGATCTGATTTTCACTCCCAAACGGTCACTGGGTAATATTAGTAGTTGTAGAATTGGAGATATTCTTATATCAGACCACGCACCTGTTTATATACAGTAAAATCATTTGAATGCTGCCCCTTTGTATCGGACTTGGAGATTTAATAATTTTTTAATCCACAACCCTAAATTTGAGAAATTTTTAAATGAGCAGCTGGAGCACTTTCTAAAGATAAATGCAACCCCCGACGTTTCTCCCGGTCTACTGTGGGACACTTTGAGAGCTTATACTCGCGGACTAATTATATCATATTCTGCAGGTCTAAAGAAGAAAAATCAGATGGAGCAAAGAAAATTAGAACTGGCGCTTCATGATCTCCGGATTAGATACAATGCCTCACCCTCTGAACAACTAGGGAATGAAATCCAGGTGGTCAAAACCTCTTTGGAGGGGCTGCTAACGAAAAGGGCTGAGAAATCTATGTTTTTTATGAGGCAAAGGCTGCATGAATTTGCCAACAAACCAAATCGCTACCTAGCTAATCTCCTTCGGAATAAGACATCTTCTCGCAATATCCCGTGTGTTAAAGATTCTTCTGGATTCCTTAAATATGACATTACAGAAATTAATAACATGTTTAAATCTTTTTATAAGCAGTTATATGCCTCTCAGTTTAAATCCTTACACATACAGGATATGCAAAACTTTTTTTCAAGACTAAACCTACCTAAAATTACGGAAACCCAGAGGGATGACCTATGCAGGCCTATAACACAGAGTGAAATTTTGAAAATAATTCAGTTACTTCCAAATAACAAAGCTCCCGGTCCCGATGGGTTCAGCGGGGAATTTTATAAAATTTTTTGTAAAATTCTAATCTCGCCACTATCTGAAATGTTTCATTCCTCATATGTTGTTGGTGCTCTTCCTCCATCCTTAATGGAGGCTAATATCTCATTAGTTTTGAAAAAAGGGAAACCCACGGAAGACTGTGCCTCTTACAGGCCTATATCGGTTTTAAACCTTGACCTGAAAATACTATCTAAGATCCTGGCAATACGTTTAGAGAGTATGCTGCCCTCTATTGTTAAGAATGACCAAACCGGGTTCATACAAGGACGATATTCTACACACAATGTTAGGCGTCTGCTTAACATAATCCAGCATTCATCCCAGTTTGGTCCGGAGGCTTTACTTATTTCTCTTGATGCTGAGAAAGCCTTCGACCGCTTAGAATGGCCATATCTCTTTTTTACACTTCAACAATTTGGTTTAGGTGATGGCTTTGTGAAATGGATACAGATTTTATACATGTCTCCTCTTTCGGCTGTTATTACTAATGGTCTCAGATCAGAGAATTTCAGCATTGGTCGTGGTAGTCGGCAGGGATGCCCTTTGAGCCCTCTGTTATTTGCTCTGGCTATGGAGCCCCTTGCAGCAGCAATTAGACAAGATGCAAGCATTGAAGGACTCTTTTTAAATAATTATCAGCATAAAATTTCACTCTACGCTGATGATGTATTGATTTTTCTAAACTCCCCATCACACTCGATTCCTAAAATTATTGAACTGATTTTACATTATGGCTCTTTCTCCGGCTATAAGATAATTTTTTTTTAAAGCGAGGCTATGCCTACAGTATTTCTGTTATACATGGGGTTGACTCAAATATTTCTCAGCCTTTTCGATGGTCCCCGTCAGGTTTCACTTATTTAGGAATAAAAATCTCACCGCACCTAAAAGATCTATTCAATCTGAACTATAGTCCTTTAGTGCAATCAATCAATCGTGATTTAGAAAGATGGTGCAGCCTCCCTCTGTCTCTTTTGGGTCGTATACACTCAAAATGAACATTCTACCTCGCCTTCTCTACCTATTTCAGATGTTGCCTCTTGTTTTGTCTAAAAGGGTCTTGTCACAATTGAATGGTTCAATTATCTCATTTATTTGGAATAAGAAAATTCCCAGATTAAGGTATAGTTATCCTTTCTTACCTGTACGGAAGGGTGGTCTTGCCGCTCCTTCCCTTTCGTTATACCTTTGGGCAGCACAGTTTAAATTCCTTATGGAATGGTTTATCAGTGACCCTGACTCCATTTATCTGAGCGCTGAGGCCACCCCATTAAAAGGCATTCCTTTGGGGAACTTACTATATACATCCACTGACAAAGCCTCAGTATTCATCCAAAACAATATGGTTTTAAAGAATATGATTGCTATCTGGCGTAGGGTCAGGCGGTTGGAAGGATACAGTAACTGCTTCTCACTCCTATTCAAGAAAACCCTGACTTTTCTCCTGGTCTTGAAGGTGGTTTCGCAGACTGGTCTATAAAAGGGATTAAAAAGGTTGGTGACCTGGTTCATGAGGGCTCACTTCTTAAATTTAATCAGATGAGAGTTAAGTATGGTCTTACTAATAAGGATTTCTTGAAGTACCTCCAAGTAAAGAGCTTCATCAGTTCTAAACTGAGAAAGTATAGTGGGGGATTGGCTGTCTCTCCTATTGAATCGCTGATGTTAAAGACCACGCAGCTTAAGGGTATAACTAAAAAGATTTATGATATCTTAGGTGTTCTTAAAACTGATAACTCTAACAAAGTTAAGGACCTGTGGGAAGTGGATTTAGGTCCTATAGAGGATGTGGCCTGGGATGAGTTGTGTAGCCGACCCTCCAAGGCGTTAGCATCGAATTCTTCTTGGGAGAGACAATTTAAAATCCTACATAGAAAATATATCACACCTGAGAAGAGACATAGAATGTTTCCAGCATTATCAAACCTTTGTAACAAATGTCAGTCTGCTGTTGGTTCTTTGTTTCATTGCCTGTGGAGTTGTCCTCATATTCTGCAATTCTGGGAATATGTTATAGACAAGTTACGTTTAATATTTAGGTACCAACTGCAATTGGGTCCAAGAACGTGTCTACTGGGTCTGAATGATGAGCTGCCAGATAACTTTCGTAACAGGGATCTTCTACATATATTGTTA